TGACTCCTTTACTGATTTGTGTTCCGTGTTGTTTTCCTTACATGTCTTCACCCTTTCATTTTCCTGATTCGAGAGAGAATTGGTGTTCGTAGGTTCATTTGTTCTCAAGTGTTATCAATTAGAACAGTTTTTATGGAGTTCAGCAGCGCTGAACCGTTGATCTCATCCAGGCTGGGATCAGGGAGATCGCCTGCCGTGCCTCTCGCTGCTGCCCACGGGGATTTTGCTGACACCGTGTGAGCCGTGCCGGCTGCTGCCTTCCCTCAGCGCTTTTCTCCATGCCGAGTGCCGAAAACAAGAAAAGCTGCTGCTGCTGCTTTTGTCCTTCTGTCCGCAGCACGGCTGGCTAAAAGCAACTAAACACACAAAGTTCATCGCGAGCCCTGCTGAGGCAGCCACAGCCATGTGCCGCTGTTTCGGTCGCGCTGATGTCTCGGCCCCATGGCCGCTCCCGGCCCCAACAGAGCCTCCCGCCGGCAGGGCCCGGCAGGGCCCGGCGGTGCCGCTAGAAGGAGGGGCTGGCTCTGCCGGGAAGGGGCCCAGCCCCGCCGGGAAGGGGCCCCAGACAGGTCCCGGTGAACTCCCCGGTGAGGGGCTCGGCAGCCCGCTCACCGCCCCTCAGGGGACAGAACATCTCGGCCGGGCCGTGCAGGGACGGGTCGGCCAGTTACCTCTATAAAGGTAGAAGCTAAGAGAGATTTCTCAGCCTTGCCTGTCTTTAAAATGTGATTCTCACACAGGGTGGATCCAGCTTCTGAATGGTTTAATAGGATGTCAGTTCCCAGAGCTAGCCAGCTATTGGTTTTTGCTAGGCACTGAGGAAGCTCTTAGCAGCTTCTTTCAGAAAAAATCATTTCCATGGGTGGCTTCTTCCTTCCTCACCAAATGTCAATTAATGCAAAACTAGCACATCTATCTATTCCTGCTCTATGTAAAGAGATGCAGTTTCTCTGAAAGTTTCTGTGTGAGAAAGCCCAGTAATGAATTTGCTGGACATGTAGCCGCAAAAGTACCTAGAAGTTCATATAGTTGATGTTCCTCCCATCTCCCCCAGTTCCTGGGGAATTTATTTGGGTCTGTTAGCTGTAAGCAGCACTTCCAGCAGGCTGCTGGAAGATGGGAAGGATGACAGCGTCTGTTCTCAAGTTTCCAGTAAAAGTACAACTGAAAAAGTGAATCACAGCTTCCCCTCTGGAGCTCGTTGAAGACTAATACAGAGGAAAACCGGCAGCTTTCCAGAGCAATACACAATGGTTTCAGCTGAGAGGAATGAAGGAGGAGAAATCTTTCAGCTTCTTCACATAGTCTGAACGAGCTGGATCCTTTGGGATGCTCAGCAGAGCTCAGCTCCTTTGCTGCTCACCTGCCTTGCAGAGGATGGATCCAATATCTTATAGTTACTGTGGTGAGGTTCAAAATCCTGGGAGGTTTGAAGCATTGGCTGTAACTGCTTGTAGACCGAGTTCAGCTTCTAGAAGGCTAATGGCCATATCAGTGATTACAATCAGTTGTGATCATAGTGATGTGCCGCAGTGGGAGATGAAGAGCAGTCAGGAGATGGGCAAGACCCTGGAGTCACCCCCCAAACAAAGGGGGTAAAATGTAGCCATGTGATTATTCTGGTGGTTTGCGGCTGCATGGTAACAGCAGTGACCTGGATCCAAGCTGACACTTCCCCAGGTGATAAATGTTAGTTTTTAAGGGGATGGAGAAATTAGAAATTTGGTAAGACACAGGAATTCTTGCAACTTAAAAGCAGCTCTACAGACGTCGAGAGTGAGACTTGCAGATCGCTACCAGGTGAAAAAACATTCTGGGAAAATATGTGAGCATATGCAAGTAATCTTTTGAGAATGACTCTTGAGACTTTCAGAAAGCAAATGGTGGGATAAAAGGTGTCTGCAACTTTGTTTTATTTAATGATATCCTGTTTATGCATCCATTTCCTAAGAAGCCCTGTGTGGAAGGCCTTGCACTAACCTAGTTCAAGTTATTTTTCTTGGGGTTGTCCTAGATGCCATTAAGAGAGCTGAGTGGTGTAAGTGCAGGGTAATGGTTTCCACATAGCTGCCTTTAATCCCTTATAGCACATCTGAGAACACTTCTCCTCTCCTTGAGCTGTAAATTAAACAACTCGAAACATTTGAGTGATGCCCGATCTGTTGCCTGTGATGTATGACAAGTGTGTTGGGTTTTTGCTGTTTCCTAAACACAAACCTCTGACTGTTGTTAGGGTGAACCTGCTGCTGGGGGTAACTCTGCTGGCCCCCCAAGCCCCCACTGCTCTGGGGCTTGTTCTGGGGGGTACAGGGGACCCTTGTGCTGTTGGTCCTGCTAGGGATGTTCCTAGCAGCCAGATTTGGGGCATGAGCTCCAAGCATTAGTCCCTCCTGCAAGTAGCTGCCTGTAGCATTGTTCTCTCAGGCAGAGTCGTCTCTTAATTGTTATTATTTCAGATTAGATGGTATTTTGCTGTTCCCAAGGAAAAGAGGGGATCTCCCAGTGTAAGCATAAATGCTCATCAAACTTACAGCTTGACTTCGGTTTTGGTGAGGCTAGTGGTTCTCACTACAAAATTTAAAAAAATTTAATTTTTCATTCACCTAAGCTTTGTCTTTCAGAGTACCAATGGAGCCCAAATTGTGCTATATCAGCTTGTTTCAGTGTAGTTCAAGTGGAAGCTGATGCTAACATGAACCTGGCTTTGTTCAGACTGTTGCTGGAAGCTGTCAAAGTTGGTCTCAGTTATATCAAGAACTTCTCGTCACTCAGTGGAACTGATAGTGAGGGTTGAGTTTAATCATTAAAGCATTAACCATGAATGGACTTTTCCACGTAAAGTGAAGTCTATCCATGTCTGTCATTAAGCATAAATACAGCCATGATGACTTTTGGAAAGCACAGGTTTATCTGCTTTCTGGTACAGACAGTGTGTGATCTCTGTGAGGGGTATGGAGAACTGGCAAGTGCTGGCAATACTGGTGTCTGAATACTGTATCTCCACGCAGAATGAATTTACTGCTATTGCTCTTATCTTCTGCAGTCAGAATCACTTCTGAAGCTCTGTTCTTATTTACTGGCAGGCTGAAATCTGTGGGGATGCTTTAAGCTGTGTTTGGCATATCATCTCCAGAGCTGAGTGGGGGGAAAGTCATCACAGGCCCTTCTTGGGGCACTGCGAGCTCTCATCGGGTTAGCTCAGTGCAGGGGAAAGCACAGAAATAATAATGGTGATCCCTGCCAATGTAATTAGGCATTTCCATTGTTCTGGACCTCCAGATTTGACTTTCAGCATGGAAGCAATGCACACAGCACCAGATCATGGCAAAAAGCAAGTCAGGGTTGTTGGGAATGCTGATGTTCTTGGGCAGTACTGTTTCCTTTGTCCCAGTTGGAAAGACCAATTTATAATGAATTGTCCCAGCCTAAAATCAAGTAATAGTAAAGATAAATGACCAGAACAAGATACCTATCTATGAGAGTAACTACTCCCTGTTGAAAAAGCTGTAATGGCAGTAGTGAGAAGAAAAGCTGAAATCCTCAGAGGCTGGATCCAAAGTGTGCTCAAAGTCAGTGGGAGTCCCTGCATTTAGTAGGTTTTGGGTCAGACCCTAGATTTGGAAAGGCAGCTTTGTATGTTGACTTGTGTAGCTGCAAAATACCAAAGGTAAAAATCTCCTTGAGAATTCCTGGGTTAAAATCGTGCTCCTTATTTTTCAAACTTGGACTTTGCAGATAATTTAACTGAAAGTGAATGTGGTATATCTGGCAAGGGTGAGAGTCCACAAAGGATGCTTGGATGCATCTGTGCCCACAGAACAAGACCTATTTTTGTGAAGTGGTGCATATACAGACTGTGACGATAAACAGAATAGTTTGCATGTTGAAAGCTTTGTCTTGAACTTAATGGAGTTTCCATCTTCCAGCTTAACCTTCTTGCATCCTGAAAAGTCTGTGTATGTACCTACTGGACCTTGCCCAGGCCCCTGTGGCTCCCTCATACCCTAAGTGTTGGAGATCTATGCTGAAAATCACATTCCAGCCATGTCCCCAGCTGTCTTTGTGAGGAAAAAAATGATCAGGCACATGGAAAATCTTCGGATAGTGACAGTATTCTGCTCCGCCCTGGCAGGACTGAAGATGCATTTGGGAATGGAAACTGTATTTTTAGGGCCTTTTCTATCTGGCAACTGTTGAAAGGGTCAACATGATTCATACAGGGTGGTGAAAGCCTTCTCCCTTTAAGGTGTTTATAGAGTTCCTGATGTGGTCTGGTACACAGGCCTGCCAGGGATTGTGTGTATATATGTATACATGTATCTATATACACATGTAACAAGAATACTTTCTGGATTCAGGGCCAGAATAAAGGGACAAAGCCAGGAATATGCAAAACAGGAGCTACCAAGAGCCTGTCTTCTGATTTCTTGAACCAAAATAAGTTGGTCTCTTTTAACTCCAAACTGAGACAGAACCTTGCAGTTCAAGTATGGTTTTGAGCTTTATGGTTGTAATAGGATCAAGCTGTCATGTTCTCTATTCATCATTGTACTGTTTCTGAGGATAATTTTGGACAAATGCAAATAAAATATAAATCTGACAGGAAATTAATATATGCTATTGTGGTGGGTTTAGCGCTGGCTGAAATCACCAGTGCACTTAATCATTTCTTGCTCTGAGATATGGATTAGGAGAAAGGCGAAACAGGCTTAAAACTTAAAAAGTATAAAGAAATTTTGTTAACAAGACTACAAGAATAAGAAACATCAGAATAAAACCTCCAGAACACCCTTCCTCCCTCCCCAGAACATCTTTCCTCCCCCTACCCAGCTTTTTCCTTTCCTAATTGACAACGTAGAGACAAATCCTGGGATGTTAAAGCAGTGCTAACTGTACAATAAGTCTTTCATCAGTTCCTGTAGGGAGAGGAGTTTTCTTTTGTCATGCCATGGAGACTTCTCCAAAAGAAACAGTTCTCTTGAGGCTTTTCATTTCCACAAATGGCAGCTGCCCGGGAAAAAGTTCTGCATCGTGAAATTCCTCCCATTTTCACAGCCCTCCTAGAGGTGTGTCCATGGGTCATGAACTTAATGGGGTATTACTTTAAGGATGAGTTGTTCAAAGGCAAAGGTTCTCTTCATCTGACTCTGTGATCATCTCTGGGAACAGAGATTTTCTTCTTCTCTCCCTGGGGGCAAAGAGTTTTCATTACTCTCATCTCTTTCTCTCTGTTCAAGCTTCTCATGGGATCACAGCTACTCAAACATCTGCTTGGCTTCATCAATGGATGCCGCTGCTCACATCTAGTTTGAACACTTCATCCCCCAATACTCCCTCATGAATTAAAGGAGATATTTCAGTATATCATTGTCCATCTCCATGGCCCTACCAAAAGAACTTTCAGCCCCATTAGAGCATCTCCTCATTCTCCTTCCATCCAAGGCTTGACTCTTTCTTTACTGACCTTGGTGTCTTCATGTTGTCTTTCTACGTGTTGTCACTCTTTTTCTCTCCCTGGAGAGAGGAACAAGGTCTGCAGGTCTCATCTGTGTAGTGAAAGGGTTAATATCTTGCCCAGTGGCCACAGCAGTCACTGTATTGGATTTCAGGCCGCACTGGGTGCATCCCTCCACCTGGCAGCCTCTGGGAGCGGTCCTGGCTCAGCCTGGATCGGTGTGGGCTGGTGGTGGGCGGGGGGCTCAGTGTTGGCAAGATGTCAGCGGCTGGGGCCCCACAGCCTCTGTCCCCCACCCAGGAGCCACTGGGGTCTGGCCCAGCCTCCCCCAAGCTGCACAAGTCACAGGAAAGTGGGTCCAGCCCCACCAAAGCTCAGCTACTTTGTGCGGCTGGAAGCAAAGAATGAGAGTTCCCGGGCTTGTGGTTTTTAAAATGTGGATCTCACAAAGGCGGGTCAAATTTCTAAATGTTGCAAAATGTTGTCAGCTCTCAGAACTAGCCAGCTATTGGCCTTTCCCATGCACAGAGGAAGCTCCCAGCAGCTTCTCTCAAAGAAATCACTTCCATTGGTGGTTTCTTAGTTCTTTTCCCAAATGTCAATCCATGTGAAACCACCACAGCTATATATATGTTTGGCTTCTTTTATAAAATTTGTTTAATTTCTTTTTTGTTTTGATTAAGGAGCCTGTTTCTTTCTTTGGGATTTTTGTGGGTTTTGTTTGTTTGGGGGGAGCACTTTGGTTTGGTCTTTTTTAAAAGCAATTTAAGTAGAGTTTACTTAACTTCCCACTGCAGAGCTGAAGGGAAGACATGGTCACCCCCAGTCCTCGAAGATGGCAAGGCTCAAGCGTACCGGATCAACATTGAGCTGGACCCACAGGTATGGCAGCTACAGCCCTACACATCTGCTCTTCCAGCTTGCTTTTGAGGAGAGGACGGACATCCATGTCTGGAGTCTGGAAAGCACTGTGCTCTTCTTGGACCTGTGCAGTCCTTTCAGAAGTGAAGGAGTTTCCATGTGTGGTTTTAAAATTCTGTGAAGGTCTGTCTGTGCTTTTCTTGGGCTTGTACAGTCCTGGTTTGCAGCAGTGCAGGAGCCATATGACCAAGCTCAAAGTCAGTGTTATTTTGGATGGAGCTGTTGAGGGTCCTGTGACTGTGCAGTGCCTGCCCTTCCTGGAGTACAGCATGCCCAGGATCTGTCTGCATCTGCCTCAGCTGGTGTGCCTCTACCTTTGCTGCTTCCAAAACCTGCTGTACGCTTCCAATCCTGTGACAGTGATTAGCCTCCCGTGATGGTGCATTTCTGGTTTTTTGGGTGTTGCTGGTTGTTGGGTTTTTGTTGTTGTTGGTGGTGTTGTTACAATGTTCTCATCTTTTTCTTTTTTTTTTTTTTTTTCCTCTCGGTCCCTCTCTCTGTTTTGCAGCTTCTCTCTTCCCTCTGTCCTCAGCTCTGTTCCGTGGAGCCTTTCTACCTGTATCCTGCCCCATACTATCCCATCTCCTGCAGCAGCCAGGTGGTGGATGGAGTTGAGCAGGTCTCCCCATCTTTCCTACTCATCTCTGATGGCTTGTTAGCAAGGTCAGAGGTGACTCTCACTCTCCTTTTTCTTCTCAATGGGAAGGGAAATGGGGTTTCTCTTCTTCCTCTCTGCTTATGAGGTACTGGATTGTTCATTTTTGCATGTGGTGGTCTATGTTGTGGAGATATCTGATGAACAAGGAGGAGAGCAGGGGAATAGGTAGGCAGAAGGCAGCTTCTGCTGTTGATGCACATGCTGCCAACTTTCCCAGAGCACCTGAGGGTCATGGATGGCAGAGCTCCAGTCTGCTGAGGCTTCTCACTATTGTAGGTTGGCTACCCCCCACCCAGGGCAGTGGTGGAGGCCCTGGGGCTGCCCACAACCTTCAGAACATCAAAGTATGTCAGTTCAGGCTGACAGAATCCCCTGTGCTTGCCCCCAAAGCATGTGAGTGCTCTTTGGCTGATGCTGGGTGTTCAAATGTTGCTCAGATGGTCTCCTTTTCCACAGAGGTGGTTTATGTCATATGCTATTCTGTGCTTTTTCTCCAGCCCTTACAAAATGCCTGTGTGCAGGATCTGCTGGTTTAGTTCAACTGCTCCTTTCCAGAGAGGCTTTTAGAGTGTCCTCATGAGGGTTCCAGAGTGCCCCCTCAGCATTCCCTTGGCTCAGTCCAGAAGGAATATAAGGGCTGCAAGGGTGGAAGAGAGGGGATGATGCTACGAGGAGTGATGTCTCCTTCAGCGAGGAATGGGGAAAAAGTACTGGCAGCAGAGAGCCCACTGAGTGATCAGGACGAGGGTGAGATCCTCCAAACCCCATGAGAAATGGACCAGAGTGTGAGGCTGTTGAGTCTGTTGGCCATTTCAGTAATGCAGAATTTGCAGGTATTCTGCATTTCTGCCCAGGGACAGCAGGCAAAGGCACAGCTCAACAGCAGCACCTCAAAGCTGCCTCAGTACTGCACACCAGGGACACACAGGGCTGTTTGTCTTCCCTGCCATGATTTACAACACAGGGTGATGTGTGAGCTTGGGCCTTGCATTCTGGCCATGTTTGCTTCATTTATCAATTACAGCCATCTTTTCTAGTCTAGTCATACTAGACTTTATCTATGAATGATATTGAATGAGGAACAAATGTGCAGCAGTTCCACTGCCAAATACAACTGAGGTTTAATGCAGATCCTATTTGAATTTTATGATTAATGTATGTTACATATGGATCTTTTTAAAAATTACACAGTTTTATAAAATATAATGAAGTGGGTAGGGATGGACTATTCTGAATCCAGACCTACACTGAAAAAATGTAAATCTGGGGAGTAGGTGTGTAAAGCAGATGTGTTTGTGGTAGGGCACCAAGAGAGGTGTGTGAACAAGGGTACACAAGTACAGGCAGCTGATTCCTGTCTTACTCTTGGTTTTTTTTAGTGCCTGTATTCACGTATTGTCTTCCTTAGTGGCTTTTTGGGTTTCCCAGAGAGGAGGTGAAGGTGGTTCCATGCACACCTCCAGCTTGCTGTGCTTGCACCCAAGATGTGTTGGTTGACTCTTCTCCCCAAACCGCCTGTGCCTCCAGTGTGGTTCATGTTGACAGCCTGGAACATGTGCCAGCAACTGTGCTAACCCAAGTGTTATCACTGATTTCCTCTGACCTGTGTGAGGCTGAGGGTGACCTTCAGCGCCTGAAGACAGCCAACCCTTCCTGTAGCGTGAGCTTGCTAGTCAAAATACCACCATGTGGTGCTAATAAAAAGAGAGGATGTTTGTGTTCTTGTTCATTTCCAAACTGCCAGAATTGGCAGCTCTCTGGCCCAGGGGGGCTGCAAGCATGGGCTTTGGGCTCTGGGACCCTGTCAGTGCTAACAGACAATAGATCAAGTGTGTGAGTGGGAGAATAATTGCAGCAGAAATTAAATTTGCAGCATTTAGCCCCAGCTGGAATAGGATGTGAGTCCTCCCAAACCTGGATGCTTGGCTGAAATAGCTATGTGGGGTGAAAGGCTGGGTTTTATCTGGTAGTGCAGACAGGCAGAGGCACTTTCCACAGTAGTCCATTGGGAATAGCATCCTGGTGCTACTGAGCTAGCAGGGCAGCCCCTGTGTCACGCTCCGGGGATGAATGAGGGAGGTGCATCAGCATTCTTGGTCCTCTGTTGTGCTGTGTCCTGAGCAATGGCTTTACCAGCCTGACCACCCAACTGAAAGGATGAGCTTTGGCAGTGGAGAAGAGTCACAGCATCAAGGGTGTTGCACAGGAACAATGAGAAGGCTGTTTCTGCTCATCACTTAGAAATTATTTTTCCTAAGTGTTCTTCTGTTTTTGACACCCAGATCTCAGTCCACAGACATGGGTTGTTAGTTTGCTCTGACTAAAATCAGATGCAAGGCCCATCACTTCCTATGTGAAAATGCCAGCCAGAATGGGGTGAAGAGGAGGAATTGGGACAAACTTGCATCTACTGTAACTGAGCAGCCTAATCCAGACAGTGCAGGAAATCCAGGCAGTCCTGGGTATGAGCTAGGCCAGTGAAAATGTGAACCTTTATTTGCTCTTTTCAGAGGGGCTCAGGTGTGTGTGGCTGCAGAACTGGGGAACTGCCAGTTTCATCCAGCCAGTGTGGGCTCTGCAGCATCATTCCTAGTTTTTAATACTTGCCCTGACTTCACAAATAGTATCACTGCTGATCATGCTTGCTCTTAATTACATTAATAAAATCACATGTGGGGTTCAGGGGAATCTGAGCTTCTGGTGCCCCAGCTCTGGGCACCCAGGGACAGCAGTGGTGTCCTGCAGTAGATCAGTTAGTTTGCTGCTAACCTGTCCCTTAGCACTGATTTTAACACCTTTAAAAATCTCTTAAATATGCTCATATTTACATTTTGGTAGATTATATATATTATTTTTTTTTCCTAAGGGTAAATGTCTTCTTATTTAATTAACTGAGTAATGGATTTAATTTAACTTTAATTAAATTGAGTATTTGTTTTAAGTTCTCTGTGGGTTGCAGCCAAGCAGGAAACGTCTATGTACTTCTTTGCAAAAGCTTGGCATAGGCCATGCTGAGTTCTGTGAACTGCAGGTTAAAGCCTCCTAGCTGGAGAGGTGGAATTTCCTTTCTCTGACCTTCCTCCCCTGCTTGCAGGGCAGGATGGGCCATGCCTATTTCTGGGAAAGTGCTTGCTGGGACCCTCAGTCCCAGCCAGCTGGGCACCAACTGGCACTCTCCTGATGGAAGGGGGGAAAATGTCTGCCTCATGTTTTGAGGAACAAAAAGGATGAGCTAATGCCCTGGCACAAACCTGGGCTCCTTTCCATGGGAACTCACAGCTCCAGCTCGTTGTTTGAGGACTGATTTAATAGGAGAAACATGCTGAATCCTGATAGCCACTGTGGGTGCATCAGCCATGAGCTCCAGGTGCTTAGGCAACATTTCACACACAGATAATGGAGTTTTACACTACAAAAAAAACACTGATGTAATTTATTGGGTGAAGAGGTTGCACACACATAGTGTTTACTTTTGCCTGTGATATAATATTGGATCACTTGAAAGGAAAGGAGTTTTATGAGTACCACTGTAATATCTGGAAGCTGTAACCTTTTATGTGAAATTCTCTGTGTGTGTCTTAGATTAACATCTTTAAATGAGTTTTGATAGTCCTGGTATATGAAAGAGGCAAAAACAATATTAGGATAAAGGAGGGGAAAAATAGGAATGGAAACTTCAAATTGGTGTTTTCTTCTGTCCAGGTAGAATTGAATAATAGAATTGAATAATTTGTTCTCATTGAAGGTACATAGGAATTATACTGAAGTGATAACGGTGGGGGTTGGTTTAGGATGAAACAAAATGCTGTTGGATTAAGTGTTACCACAGACATTTACTGTATTATTTTACTTGATAACATCAGTTTCAGTGATGACTCTGTTAACACAGATAGGGAAACTACTGCTTATGTACTCAGAAGTGCCAAGTGTTTGGAAGCACAGGTGTAGCTCAGTGTTTCTGTTCTTATCCATCAGGAAAAACAGCTTATCCCCTTTCATTTTTCCTTGTGTATATCACTTGAGAGGAATTAATTGCTCTTGGAGGTCACTTGACAGTGAGAGCATGTGGAGAGGACTATCCTCAGTGGTGCAAAGAGGGATGCTGGAGGGATGTTCACTGTGATCCCCTAGGATGATCAGGCTGAAGCAGCTGCTTCCATCCTCTAAAGCAGCTTGTGCCACCGAGGGCCAGGAAAGGCTGAGACATGTTTCTGAATCTACCTGAATTTATTTTTCTTTATTAATGAAGAAAAACAAAAGGTTGGGACATTCCAAAATGAAAAATATGTCATCCTGTTGCTTGTGCTGTGTTTTCTGATGTACCTTACTCTGGCTTTTACAGATGGAGGAGTACAGATGATGAAGTAGGCACCTTTTGGTTTTAAGCATGTAATATTTTTGTAGCCTGAAGCTTAGCTTGTTGCCAGTGAAGCTTTTAATTTCAATTAGCTGCTGATAATGATTATGGAAAGAAAATCAGAAAGTGTGATATGGTAACACCTAAAAGTGCAACGATTCCCCAGCTGAGAGGAGAGTGACAGTAAGCTGGAAAACATGAAATCAGGACATAGTCTGTTAGTGTTATGCTCCCCAGGTTTGTCTTAGAAGCCAAACACCAGATGGTGAGTAAAGTGATTCAATGGAAGCACTGACTGAAATGGGAACAGCAGCATCTTCCCTTCGAGGGAGGGGACAGGCAGGAGGGCGAGTGGACACTTGCTGTGACGGTTTCAGGTTTTTTCCCATTGTAGTGAATATTATTTTCTGTCAGTGGGAAAGTTAATCCAGCAACACCTGTGCCAGGGCCTCACCACCTTCACAGGAAAAGATTTCTTCCTAATATCCCATCTAAACCCGTCCTCTGTCAGTGTGAAGCCATTCCCCTTTCTCCTGTCACTACATGCCCTTGTGCAGTACAGCCTGTCCTGGGAATATGGGCGGGCTGGGGCTCACCAGGCTTGAGTCATGTTTCACGTGAACATTGTCTGCACCTTATCCATTGTCTGCAGCCTTTTTACAAAAACATCATCTGATTTTAAGAGTTTGGTCTCTTACTTAGAGAGGTCTGAGAAACTAATTTGATATTTAGGTGACAGCTGTGAAAAGAGTGTAGTTAGAAGGATTTGATGGATACCACAGACGGTAGGTGTTGATAATTGCCATGTCATTGGTAGGGTCCCCATCATATGTTCACTGGATGTTATCTCAGCTAAGCAGACAGTTCAAGCATACCATATCAGCTATTACCACTACGTCTAACTTTTGCTAATAGTAGAAATAAAAACTATATCTATACAGCAAAGCTATTTTAACATTATACATAGAACATTGATCTTAATATTTGTGAAGACAATATTATACTATGTATCTATAACAATTCCTGTGGGGATGGACACCGACATCACATGGACAGAGCTGCTGCTGGTCCTGTCCTGTCCTGTCTGGGAAAAATCTCCCACCACCATAGCACAAGAGCATGGACTTGGGGTTTGGGGGTGTAATTTAGGAGGTATTTCCACCTCTGCAAGCTGGTGAGTTTGCTCCCAAGGAAGGTTTCTTAGATACACTAAAACCATCATTGCTCAAAGCCCTTGCAAATCATGCCATGGGTGGATGGGTCTTGCTTAGAGGCTCTAGGAGCCAATGCTGGGCTACCAAATTAGCAATCTTCAGTTTTAATCTCTGGTAGTCTGGAAAAAGGAGATTAGTTATTTTGTTTGTACTTCTGGTCTTTTAAAAGTCTAATTGATAACACATTGAAGTAAATGAGCTATAGATACTTTGGATCAGAATATGAAGTCTGATGTTCTCTGTGAGAAATGATGCTCACTTCTAAAATGTCAAAATTTTATTGAATCTTTACAAAATACAATAAAATACCTGAATAAGGGAAAATTACAGTGCTGGGAGCATAGGACTAAACCACTACTTGTCTACAAAATGGAGGCTCTGCCTTTTGTACCCTTGGCCCCTCCTAAAGTCTTGTCAGTCAGCTCCTTCTTTGCCATCCATTGATGAAGATTACTTTCCTACAACTTAATTGGAGGTTGTGTGTTGCCATGCCACACTCCTTAGTAACAAGCCTGCCCTCCCCCCAAATGCCCTGACTACCAAGGCTGTCCAGTGACAACAATACAAAAGGGTAGGGGAAAGAGGATTGTGGGGAGAACATACCACAATAACATAACTATTTATTTAGTCAAAAATAAACTTTGTATCAGAGCCCCACAATATACACTTCGTTATTTGTTCACAGGATGTTGTTTTATTTCCCTGCTTGGTTTTTCATCAGCTTCAATCTACTGAAAAGCTAGTGGAATGCAGCTCTGTTGGGGAGCTGCCCTAGAACAAATTAAAGCAGGTTAAACAGATTCCAGCCTCTTACACAGCGTCTATGTCTTTCATCAGTCCCAGGTATGTTTGTGACTTACACAGCTGGAAGTAGCAGCCAATGTGTGTCCATGGGCTGTGTCCAGCTTCCTGCTGCTTTTCCCAATTGCCAGAGTTAGCTCCTCTCCCCATAATGAGCTTTTGTAGGTAAAGCCTGGCTCAGGTGACATTAGCAGTAGGTATTGCTTGATTTATGGGTGTGGATGGGACTGACTAATAGCACACCCATATATATGGAGTTCCATGTGTGTGGAATAGGACATGGGTAATGTTTGACATTGGTAAAATAATTTGGAAAATTTGTGGTTTAATAGCATCTGAGTTCCTGACTTGAGATCATATGCCAAAAAGATTTCCACAGTTTACCTTGGGACTTAAAAAGCAAATGAAAATGTGAATACCTAGCTAAACCCTTACTGATGTGTTTCTCACGCTGTAAATGACTGATCTTACTTGTGGAGAAAACCTCCCTAAAAGAACCTGGATTTGTGTGGACAAGGGTAGCTGCAAGTAAAAACCCCAGGATTGGTCCCTTGGCCTCAGGTGTTATCCAACCTGCACGTGGAGCTGCCTAGCATGGGTTTATCCTGTTTTGCTCATAGAAATGGAAGGGATGGCCCTGAAGTCAGGAGCACAGCAAGTGCCCTCAGAGTGATGGAACATGGAGTAAGAAGTAGACTCGCAGCCTTTCTTTTAAAGAAACAGCAAATATGCTTTTAAATAGAAGATAAATGCAGGAAAATATATGCAGAATATTTGGCAGTGGCTCACCATGGAGGAATAGCAAATTCATTCAGTTGGGGACCAAGGGGAGCTGTGTAGATTCAGCACAATTTAACTGCAGGTCAAGCCTGAATTTTCTTTTTTCTGCTGCACAAACCTGTTTTCCACAGCACACATAAAATGTTACTAATGTAAACTCCATATCCCAACAGAGCCCCTCCATGTACATCACACACTATAAATCTCAGGTTTTCTGCTTTCTTTCTTTTCAGGACAGTGGCCCTGCCCAGAGCAGGAGGTCAATGCCCCATGGATCTGGGAGCAGCCCCATGGACAACAAGCAGATGCTGAACATGCAGCATCACCAACCAACCCGGCTCTACATGAACAACAGCTCTGAGTCGGTGCTTCCAGGCCAGCTGAGTGGACTCCACATCACTCCTGGCCACAGGTAGGACATGGGCAGGGCTTGTGTAGGGAGGTACAGAGGTATGGTCCCCCAGCTGGGATTAATGCCAAGGAAGACAAGCAGAGGAGAGGTTTAAATTGGATATTAGCAAAAATTTCTTCACCAGCAAGGTTGTCAAGCCCTGACACAGGCTGCCTGGAGCAATGGTGGAGTCACCATGCTTGGAGGGACTTAACATGAAACATGGCAAGTGACCCCCAAGGCAGAACCTTGACGAAATTGACCTGAAGGGATTTGTAACTGGGCCAGCAATGTGGAGGTTAGTCAGTACCTCCCTGATGAGCTGACAGTAGTTGTTTCTGTTTGACTTGAGCCTTTCTTTCTTTGCTTTAAACCAGCATGGACCCCGTGAAGTCTCTCCCACGGAACAGAAATGGGATTGATGTGGAGTCAGATGTCTACAAGATGCTTCAGGATTATGAAAAGCCCATTTCAGAGCCAAAGCAGTCTGGATCCTTCCGGTACTTACAGGGCATGTTGGAGGCCAGTGAGAATGGTAAGGAGGATGGTACCCAGTCACCCTCCTGTGAGAAGACCACTGGGATGGTAGATTTCAAATCCATGTTTCACATACTCCTTTACCAAATTTTGTGGCTGATTTGAGCACTGTGTGAAAGCTGGATTTGTAACCAGTGTGGCAGCTGTTTCCTGAGATAAAATATAGTGGCCTTAAGTGGTTGTATAAGATCATTGCTGGAGAATCTGGTCTGGTTAAGTAATTGACATTTGCATAAGGACGTGGGATGGTCCTCAGCAAGACAAGGATAGAGATTGGGAGCTCTTGGCTCACTTCTCAGGTCTGTCACAGCTTTCTGCCCATGTCATTAACACATTAAATAATAAGATCCCTAATCTATACATTTCAGCTTCTTTTTTATTTTTATTTGCCTTTCAACATTAAGTCTGTTGGAGCTTTTCTGTTCAAATTTGTAGGCTTTGCTTTACAGCCCTACAATGTAAGACTTCTGCTTCCTTCCAAGGGCCCCATATTCCAATCATGTGAATCCAGGAATGTATATTTTATGGGAAAATACCAGCTGCTGTAAATCTCATTATGGAGCCATGGGAGGTATTGAGTTGGGCTGTTGCATTTCAGTTTCTGTTTATCTAAAATGTTGGAGAAGTCTGTTCTTTAACTAGAAGGATGTTGGTTCTTGCTTCACAAGAAGCATAATTGCAGGTAACTTCTGAACATCATGGAATTCCACCAGTATTGATTTTCTCTGTGAGACTGAGACATAGTTGCAAAGCATGGGATAGGATCAACCACAGAAGCACTGGGTATATTATTATATTTTATTACAGCCCCTGGATTGGCAGGACTACTGATGTTAAATACGGGCCCCAGCTAGACTTTTCAGGTGTTTCAAGACCTCCAAGAGCAAGGACAAATCTGTTGTTTCCCCAGTCTCCTCATTAGGAGGAAGCAAATGGGAAGTGACTATGTTAATCCCAATTAGTAACGCTGCTGCCTTCTCCCTTCTCTGTGCCAGGGAAAGGGAGCAGATTTCAAGCTTCGCTGGTTTGCTCCTGCCTTCTCCCGTCGCACTATATTAGGAACAGCAAAGTAATACAACATGACTCTCTTAGCTGCATTGTCCGAGAGAGCAAAGTTTATTATTATTAATCTTCTTTTATACACATGTTTGAGAAGTAAGAGAGGTAAAACTCACATTGGTCATTAAAGCAACACATCACCATCATTGGTTAAGTGGAACACCACTCTTTGACTGTTTCTTGCAAGTAAATCCTAAACACCTGCCAAGATTGTTGTCCTTTACCAAGGACTGTTTGGATTTTTCCTTATGCTTTCTCAGCCCAGAGTGAGAAGCCTGTGTGACTTAGTTTCACCCAGGCTCTTATCCCTGCTTGCTTTTTGAATTTAGTATCCACATTCTCCTGCATCCTGCAGCCCTGGGCAGGCAGAAACCAGTGCTAGGAGGGAGAAAGAAAAGGCTATGGACTCAGGGCATGGGGAACAAAGAGATGGCAGGACAAGTCCCCACATCCTGGGACTGTCCAGCCAGTCCTGGATGTGTGCTCCTCAGAATTCTCTTGGCACTAGCCCATCACCAGTGCAACACCACATCTTCAACTGGAGCCTGAGAGCCTGCTTTTGGGTACCAGCCAGTATGGGACAGGCTGGAGCAGATACTGTCACTTGGGTTCTACCATTCTCCCTGTCAGTAGTGTCAGTAGTGTGGAGGGGATGTGTGACTGCTTGCAGGCACAGCCTCAGTTGTGCCTTGGTCATTCCAACGCTGTTTATTTCACAAGGGATGAGAAATTAGGTGAAAAGCATCTCTGCTTGGCATTAAGCTCTGTGGTGTTCCAGCACATTTTCAATCCCAAGTGTTCCTGCTGGGCTTGTTTTACAGCTGCCACCACTGCTCCTTTCTCCTTAAGCCTAAAATTACACATTTTGACCTGAGCCTGCCCTGCATTGTCCTTTTAAGGTCAAGCTCTCCTCTCCCAAGGAGCTGAGTGTCTTGGACAACAACCTGTTTTATATGGAATGTATTTCTGCTGGAAGCATTATAGCTCTATCCCACACCCTTAGGGACCAATGCTTTGTGCTGAGGTGGAGGCTGGAGGAATGGCAGTGCCCACCTTCATAGGCACCCATGAATCAGAAAGGATAAACACTCCAGCCATAATGGGGATGGCATGGTTGAATTTGTGGAGTTAAAGCATTTGCTGCCCTGCTGAAAACCATAAATCACCATGAGACTGGGCTGGTAAATAGAAGGAAATGATACACAGTTCAGGAAGATGGAAAACAGTCTTCTCTGCAGGGTTCATTTTGCTGTAAAATCCCTTTTTTTTTTTTTTCCCCTCTTCTTTCCTTTTTTAGGCAGCGTATCCAAGCACTCTTCATGAGAGACAGTGGCAGCTTAACTGTTAAATGTTGGCAGATGAGCGTGTCTAGTCCAAGCGCGCTGTGTCTCATGCTGGGGGAAGCCAACAGTTGGAGCAGTTTTTTCAGTTTATTCCCAGCAAGGCAGTGGAAGGATTCAACAAGGGGCTTGGCTGGAGACAGCCAAGTATTGGGGAACTCCTGGGGTGGAGTAACCCTGTTCTGCTCTTAGACAGGCACTCTTGCATGTATGAAAGCTCTTGGCCTTGCTAAGCACTGTATTGTGTTTTGGGGAGGTGGGGTCTGGTGGGAAGTTGGTCCTTTCGGTTTTACGCACTTGGCTGGCAGCATTGGCTTCTGTGTCAGAGCCATGGCTGGAGAGGGGAGCTGTGGTGTGAAGGTGCCTGTGCACCCCAGGGGATGAGTGAGGTGTGCACCATCCTTCCCAAATGGGCCCAGGACAATGAGCACTCCTGAGACACACTAGACGGGGGAGCAGTGTCTCTCCATGGAGAGAAGCTTTTCTGAGTAACACCTTTCAAAATGTATCTTTCGTGTGACACTGCACAGGGTTTGTGAGCAACCAGCAGTGATCATGTATCAGGCTCCAGGTACTTAAAGTTCCTTTTAGGACAGGCAGAGATGTTCCTGGAGCCATAGGAGGCACTTACACTGGATTTTGCTCTGAAGTTGCCAAAACTGGCACAGAGTATGTGCAGATACCTCAGTCTGAAAGTGCTTGTGCCCTGCTGAGAGCTTCTGAGCTTCAGGGCTTGAAACACGTGATTACAATGGACCCTGGACTGAAACACCTTGGAAGCTCAGGAAGTGTGGCAAATTTGAGCTCTGGAGAAGGACCTGTTCATCCAAGAGCTCCTCTGCTGCTTTTCCAAACTGTGAGCTAACTGGTCCTTCTTCATGAGCTTTTCCTTTCTACGACCTTAGGCAATCACAGAGGAACCATAGATGGATATATGCCAAACAGACCTGTCAGCTGTCACCTGTGGAAAAACCATGCAGTCAATACTGGAAGCTTTTAAGTGTCCCAGGGGCTGGCAACGAGCATGTTGGTGTTGTCCAGAATCAGAGGGTAGATGGTCTGTAGGGAGTGGGAGAAGCAACACTGGAAACTCTGCTATGATATTTTTCATGTGCACAAAATCTTCATTGCTTCTTTTTCTGTTGCTGGACTTTCATGAAAGGAGGCCTGGTGCCTCAGAAGACCTTATCTTCTATCACAATATTATGGTTTAGATTATCTGAGCTAAAATGCATGCTCCAGGAAGAAAAATGCATATGATACTATTATTGTTTGGTGCAATTTGCCTTATTCTCTGAAATGTGTTCATCTACATCTCCTTGACAGATGGTGGATCTACCAAGAGTACCTGAAATGTTGGTGTGATGGAACCTTTTTTTATTGGGGGGGGGGTGCTTTTTTGGGCTCTTCACTATTTATGATTCTTAACTCATTAAGTAGTATTACAGCAAAATTAACCTTTCATGTCTAGATCGCAGCTGCTTTACATTTTGACAAGGTCCATGTCTGTTCAGCTGGTGCTGTCCTGGAACTTCCAAGGAAGTTGCAGGTTCTGTTATGACAGGCAGACTCATCTGACTCTGTAAGGGAAAAGGAGAAAAAAAAGGAAGAAGAACAAAGAGGGAAAAAACAGCCCTGAGAGTCTTCTGTGTCTTTATTTTCAATCTGTGTCTTTATAATTCTTGGCAGGTGAAAAACTCGACAAACTGAGCAACCCCCGAAACATCAAGTCCCCAGTGCCAAAGCTTGGTGGTTCCATGTCTGGGCTGCAGATGCTTCCTGAGTGCACTCGCTGCAGGAATGGGATCGTGTAAGTGCTATGCCTCACAGAAGCCCCCAGTGTAGTGGGGATGCTAACACTGGGACATGGCTAAGTTGGGTCCTGCCAGGCACATGGGTTAGGATTTATAGCAGAATAACTTGAATCCTTTTCTGGTTTTTTCTAACCATATCTAAACCTGAGCAATACAGTTTGGATTGCCCCTTTTAAGGGAATCTCGCAAGGGATGATTTATGGGATGGTTTGTGCCCTGCTTATCATAGTAGCTGCCCAGGGACTATGAATAGCACCACAGCACCAGCACTCCTTCACTGCCTTACAAGGGTTGGTGGGAGAAGCACCTTGAGTGTTGAGAAGAAGAGAGCTGTTTTGTTTGTTTGTTGAAGAGTTACTCTCTGACAGATGGATGTTTATTTTAGAAAGTATAGGTGATTTTCTGCTTTGTTCCTGTTGTAATTTATGACCTATTGTAATTTATGTTCTGCTTTAATTTACATCCTGCTCAAGCCAAATTTGCTGGTTGAGTGTGAGCTGTGCAAATGACTGCAACTGTGTTCTTGCTGGTGCTGTGAGTTGAAGGTCTCTGCTCCACAAGTCATAGTGCCTGCAAGTGCACAGCACCAGTCCTTGCAGGATGCTGGCTCCTGATTTTCAGATCCAGGCTGAGTGTAGATCTTTAAGGCTCTGTTTTGCATCAAGCTGTGGAGCAGTGCTGCTGGGTATGGAGCATCCCTTCCCACTGAAGCATAGTGAAGCCACACCTGGAGTGAGGTGGCAGCTTTGGGTGGGCTGAGAAGCCCTGATAACACCCTTACATGTCCTTGCATGCTGCTTTCCTCCACTTAACTCTGTTTTACTTGAGGCAGCAGGAAAAGCTGCTCATGCTCTTTGTTTCTCCACCTCACCTGAACTTTCCCAATCTCTCCCAGGGGCACCATCGTCAAGGCTCGGGACAAACTCTACCACCCCGAGTGCTTCATGTGTGACGACTGTGGCCTCAACCTGAAGCAGAGAGGGTATTTCTTCATTGAGGAGCAGCTGTACTGCGAGATGCATGCCAAGGAGAGGGTTAAGCCTCCTGAAGGATATGATGTGGTGGCTGTTTATCCAAATGCTAAAGTTGAACTCGTCTAAGGCTGGGCTGTGCTCTGGAGAGGTCGGATGGCCGTGAGCCCACCCACGTCCTCCTGCCGGCTGCGAGCAGTGGAGCTGTGATCAACCCCAATTACCAAAGCCCAAGTTAAAATGCCTTCTCCTAGATAAAACCGTTTACACTTGGGATCTCTGGGGAGTGGTGTTGAAAGCATTCAAACAGGTTTTGCCCTTCTTTTTGACACTCTGCTTTTTGCTGTGTTGGGTTATTAGTCTGTGCTGTAATCTTGTCCAAGATCTGTGTAAATATTGATTAATTCTTTACTCTCTTTCATATAAAACCTGTATTCCTTTTTTTTTTTCTTTTTTTTTTTTTTTTGTTATGCCCTCCTTCTACTGAAGATGTTTTAGAAGATATTTTAAAAGCTCCAAGAAAATAAGGCACTTTAATAAAATAAGCTGTCTCTTATGTCCTAACCCTAATTTTTTGTCCTGTGCCTGCCCCAGTGATTAAAAACCAGCCCCTGAGAGTCAGGATGATACCGGTGGGTGCCTCACTCAGCTGTGTCCCAGCAAATGTGCCAAGGAAGGGTGGTCTCTTAAAACAGTAATTAAAATGAAACTCTCTCAACCACAGCAGTGCAGTTTGAGGCTGACAAGAAGAAGTTTGAGTTCCCAAGAGATCTCCACACTGATTGTGTGATGAGGCTTTTTTCTTCCTTTTTCTACTCCTAATTCAATTGTTCTGTCATCTAATAACCCAAGCACACCTTGAAAGGACACTGCAGTAGTCTGGAGCACCCTTTGATTATCCTCACCTCCTACATTTCTGCCCACAGCTGCCTTTGCTTTGGCCATTGTGACTATTCCCCAGTTTTTGCTATAATTTTGCAGTCCTTTATTTCTAGATCCTCAGATTTCTGCCATCTGGGTCTGCCTCCCAGCAGGAAGGGGGTGATAAAATCCCTCCAGCCACTTAGGGAATAACTGGAGTTTGGGTGAGCCCCAAATCCCAGGACAGCAGGATTGTCTTTATATCCATCTCCCAAGGCAGTGCTTTTAGCCAGGTCCATCATCCACTTTAGTTTACAGGGAAAATATTTTATAGATCTTAAAATGTTTCTTAGAGAAATGTGGTTTTTTTCATGTTAGTACTCAGAGGAAGGAAAGAGAAAGTTGAGTTGCTCAGCTTCTGGGTACTGTTGTGCAAGGCCATGGGAGCTGTGTCTTTGGTACCACGAGGTTACTTCTGCTTTCCAACAGCCTAACTCTTCTTCCTCCTCCGTTTGAGAGAAGAAGGATGTGGGGGAGAAAAAGAAATGTTTGTGCTTGCTTTCCTTCCATGGAAAAGGAAAATAAGAAATGGGGTGATGGTCAAAGCACCCCTTCCCCTCCTGACTCTCCATAAGAGGGGAAACTGGGGATTGGAGGAGGGTTGGGAGTGTGATCCTAGTTGGGCAGGTAATTTCTTCCTATAGGTTCTGCATCCCAGAAGGGATTTTAGGGAAGGGATTCCCTAAAAGGGATCCCCAGAAGGGATTAACTGGTCTCCAATCTAGATCTCATCATGCAATGCCTTACAGGGATGCAGCAGCTCCTGCCCCGTGCCCTGCAGCCTCCCAGCAGCCACGGGCTCTTTCCAGCTGGGTACCACAGAGATGCTGGCTAACAGCAGGACATCCACCTCCCCCTCCTTCTGCAATCAGGAATTTTTAATTATCAAAGTACAAGAAACATGGAAATTTTTCTCACAGTGCTGAACCATGTTTTTCTTGTATTTACATGGCCATGCTTGGTCAGTTGGGCCCTCTGAAGGGGAATGTTTAGGACAAATGTTGTTATATGTTGGTTATAGGTTGGAAGACAGAATTTGACTTGAGTTTTTTTGATTTATCAGACAAAACAGTTTTGTTATACTGTTCAGAACTTACTTACATAGTTGGTTTGAAACTCCCAGGCTTAGATAGCTCTCTGCCCAGATCTCTGGCCAGTGGTGTGCTTGCAACTAAACTCCGATGGCTGAGGGTCCCCTGTAACTTATCCAGGGACTCATTTTGGCATGAACTAGGCTAGCCAAATTGGATTTGTGTTATGGCCAAATTCACCTTGTCCAGTCCAGACTAGCTGTACTGTGACAATACTGTGACAAATAATAAACGAGGAGCCAAGGTAATCAGGTGGGAAGAATTACTTCCCTGGCTTGCAGGGCTCTGCTTGGAGCTCCTTAGGTTGCCTTTGTCAGAAACATTTATTCTGAATTCCACTGTTATCCTTATACATTGCTGGTTTGAGCTCTAGTGTCTGTAGCTTGAGAGTTCAGGCTTCACCCAAATCCAGGACTGAGTACAGCTCAACTGCATGATGGAAGACTCACAACATGAATGGCACGGGATGCTTTTCCCTGTTTTCCACGCAGATAGTTGGAGTGCCAGTGGTGCTGTTTGTCACTCCCTGGGGTTCTTGTCCCCATTTGATTCTACCTGCAGGATGCCAGGAGTCTGCAGCCCTGATACAGGGAACACCAAGTTATAAGTTGGTTCATTGCCCTCATTTTAAACACCCAGCTGAGGAGGCTGCTACCAGGACACCCTTGGTGGTCTTGCTTGGCTGCCACACCAGTACAGCACTGGGAATACTGGGCATGCAGCTGTTCTTTTAATTTTATCCCAAGTCCCCTCAAATCAGTATTTCCACATGGCATGTCATGATACCCTTTCTTAGGAGTAATCAGTTCATCTGATGCCCCTGCAGAGCTTGGACCTGCCTCACACAGGCCCATCCCATGGCACAGGGTTTCCTGGCTTCAGGCCACCCTGTTCCTGTTGAGAGGCTTGCAGGAGCAAGTGTCACCTTCTCTATCACCAGATAATGCTATTAAACTCTGTAAAATCTGGGGAGGGTATTGCTTGTATGAAACAAAAAATAAAATTGTATTATGGATTTTGTCTCACATCACTTGGCCTTTGCCTGGTCTGTGTGTATGGGGGTCCCCTGGCATCCAGGTGAGAAGGACACTGGATAAACTTCAAAAAGCATCTTGGAGATACAAATTACATCTCCATATGAATTGCTTTTCACATTTCATTGAGAGATTGTTTGAGGTTTGGCCTGTGTTTTGGGGGGAGTTGCTGTGGGGTTTTTTTTGACTTCAGACCTTCCTGGGATCCTACATCCTATGAGGTGTGGAGGTGGGAAATACCCACTGTGTCTCTGCCTGTTACATGATCCGCTACTGGAGCCTGGCTCCTCTCCTGCAGCGTGACCTAGCTCATCCTGTCATGGCTCAGAGCTTTGCTGCATCTGCCCCTGCACAAGGCTGATGGATCAGTGTTTTTGGTGGTGTTTAATCAGCCACAGTGACACTCCAAGAGAACCTTCTCCCACCTGATGTCCCAGGCTGTCATCAGACTGGGATCCACAGTTCTACAGTGCTGGGGGTATTACTGCTGTCACTGCTGGAGTGATCTGGACCTTCTTCCCAAGGAGAGGTTCTTTATTGCTGGCCCTTGGAGAACAGGAGCCCGCTGGGTGGTGGGAGTGTGGGGGATTGGGAGGCAAGGGCAGGTTGGGGTAGCAGCGCTGTCAGAGGAATGTTTGCTTCTATAGCTCAGTCTTGATGGGTCTGGTTTTAATAGTTGATTTGGATTCAAATCACTGGTGTATGGGAAAGTCAGAAGGGGTGTGAGGTAAGCGCCTCCAATATTTAACTTAAAGGGGTTTTTTGACATGGGCCAGAGATTTCCCGGGCTAGCTCCAATAGGTTTTCTCTCTCTTTTCCCCAAGAGGGGCCCGAGCCAGGGCTACTGTTTGAGCTTTTCAGCCCTTCTTTGAACACACGTCTCTGGGTCAGGCGGAGGAATGAGGGGAGGACTTTCTTCTGGTTTGCAATTCACGGGTTCATTCTGTAAGGAGAAATCCAGGAGAAGGACAAAAAGATTCGGGAGTCTGACCGCTTCTTTTAAAGGGTTAACGCCTCGGGGGATTGGGAATCGTGAGAACCAGTTAGAAAATAAAGCCAGCGGGCACACAGACTTTCTACGAATAAAACACAGACAGGTTCAGATAAGCGGTAACGGGCATGGGAAGTGTCTAATAACGTCCCGAGGATCAGGAGTTTTCCAAGGGTGGGTGGAACCGCGGGGGAGAGACCGCGCTGGCCGAGCCCCTGCGGGTGGGACACAGGGAAGCGGAAACACACGGGCAGAGGCGGCGGGGACACCGGGGAGCCGCAGCGGGGACACCGGGGAGCCGCAGCGGGGACACCGGGGAGCCGCAGCGGGGACACCGGGGAGC